GGTTGCCGTATGTAAAGGAACCAAAGAAGATATGCGAGGAATGATGCAAAGCTAAGCAGGCAAGGAAGGTGTTCAAAGGTGATTTTCCAATAAGATCAAGGCAAAAACTAGAGTTGGTTCATTCAGATGTGTGTGGACCCTTTGAAGTAAAGTCCAATGGAGGTAACAAGTATTTCCTTACTTTTTTTGATGAATTCATCAGACATATGTGGATTTACCTTATTGAGAGAAAAAAGTGAGGTATTCAAACAGTTCAAGAAGTTCAAGTTGCATGCTGAGAAACAAAGTGGCTGCAAATTGAAGAAGTTAAGAACTGGTGGTGGCGGTGAATATACTTCTGCTGAATTTGCTAGATTTTACAATGAGGATGGTATAGAGCGTGAGGTTATTGAACCCTATACGCCTCAGCATAATGGCATAGCTGAGAGAAAGAATAGAAGTGTACTGAACATGACAAGATATATGTTGAAAGCTAAGAATATGCCTAAGAGATTTTGGGCTGAAGCAGCTTCGACAACAATATACATTCTAAATAGATGCCCAACAAAGAAGATGGTCGAAAAGACACTGCATGAGGCTTGGACAGGGTCGAAGCCAAATGTAAGCCATCTTAGAATTTTTGGTTCAATGTGTTTCAGGCATGTATCTGAACAATTGAGAAAGAAGTTGGATGATCGAAGTGAAGTCATGGTGCTCATAGGTTATCATTCGACTAGTGCATACAAGTTGTATTCACCAATTGAAGATAAACTAGTGATCAGTAGAGATGTTCTTATAGACGAAAGCAAAGGATGGGATTGAATTCGAAGTTTAGTTCGACATGAATAAGACACAGTCACAACTGTGTTTGAAGAAGATAAACAGAACGAAGCTTCGACAAGTCGAAATGAAGAACCACCTGTGCAAAATGAAAGAAGATCCACAAGAACAAGAACTGAGTCGACTACATTGATTGGATATGAGAGGTTTCCAGATCAAGCAATCGATGCAGATGGTGACTTAATCGAAGAAGCCATGATGATGGCTAAAGCAGAACCAATTCATTTGGGTGAAGCCTTAAGCAATTTGAATTGGTGTGAAGCCATGAAAGAAGAACTTAGAGCCATTGAGAAGAACAATACTTTGGAGCTTGTCGAAAGAACCAACAAGAAATCAATCGATGTGAAATGGATCTACAAGGTGAAACGAAGGCCAAATGGTGAGATTGCAAAGTATAAGGCAAGATTGGTGGCCAGAGGTTTTCTATAAAAACATGGTATTGACTTCGACGAAGTATATGCACTTGTTGCTAGGATTGAAACAATCAGGATTGGTGTTTTGATAGCTGCATGTAGAGGATGGAAAATACACCAACTTGATGTGAAGTCAACATTTTTGAATGGTCCATTGGAAAAAGAAGTTTATGTTACTCAACCACCAGGTTTCGACGTCAAAAGGCAGGAGTCGAAAGTTTACAGATTAAGGAAGGCTCTCTATGGCTTGAAGCAAGCTCCTAGAGCTTGGAATAAAAGGATAGATAGCTTCCTAATCGAAGCAGGTTTCACAAAGTGTGTCTCTGAACATGGAGTGTATGTAAATGATGTCGAAAGTGTCAATCGAATCATTTTATGCCTCTATGTTGATGACTTACTCATTACAGGAGCAGACGAAGCTGAGATAATGAAGGTAAAGTCAATGTTAATGCAGGAATTCAAAATGTCTGGTTTAGGGAATCTCTTTTATTTCCTGGGAATGGAATTCAAAGACGTCGAAGAAGAAGTTTCCTTGCATCAAACGAAGTATGTTCAAGATATACTGAAGAGATTCAATATGAGCAACTGTAAGGCAGTTGTTACTCCATTAGAGATCGGAGCAAAGCTGAAGAAGGAATCGAATGATGAGTTTGTAAGTTTGACCCTCTACAAACAAATCATTGGATCTTTGAGGTATCTTTGTAATACTATACCAGATATCTGCCAAAGTGTAGGATTATTGAGAAGATTTATGGAGAAGCCTCAAGAATGTCATCTCATTGCAGTAAAGAGGGTGTTGAGATACATAAAGGGAACTATTGATCATGGTGTGCTGTTACCAAAGAAGTCGAAGAACAACACAGATGTCGAAGTTCATGGATACACTGACTCGGACTTCAGTGGAGATCAAGACGAAAGGAAGAGTACTGCAAGCTACATTTTCATGATCGAATGAGCTCCAATCTCCCGGAGTTCGAGGAAGCAAAGCATTATGGCTTTGTCATCATGCGAAGTAGAATATGTGGTTGCATCATATGTTCCATGCCAAGTAGCATGAATCGAAATGCTACATGAAGAACTCAGAGTAACGGAGTCGAAGATGAAGCTGTTTGTTGATAACAAGTCAGCTATAAACCTTGTGAAACACCCAATGTGTCATGGTCGAAGTAAGCACATTGAAATAAGGTATCATTTTATGAGGGATCAAGTCAACAAATGGAAACTTGAAATAAAACATTGCAAGACAGAAGTGCAACTAGCTGACATATTCACTAAATGTCTAAAGAAAGTAAGGTTTGAAGAGTTAAAGAAAGACATTGGGATGAGAAGTCTTCATAACATGAATTAGGATGTGTTAGTTAGTTAATTCTTGTTATGTAGTTATTTGGGTTTTTAGCATGTAATTGGATCTGAACATTTTTGCCTATATAAAGGACATTGTGTTTGTGCAGTAAAAATAATAAATCAGTTAGATATCTAGTTACATACAACTAACTCATCATTTTCTATCTCTCTTATTCTTCTTTTTGTTTTCACAAAATCATCTTTCTTGAATCCTTTATTTTAACAAAAACAACATGGCCTATAAAATTTAGACTTGTTCGACTATTTATGTCGATGATACACGGGTTTTTCCGCTACAAAGGGTACATGACGACCACGTTTGAATTGATTCTCCAATTTTACGGTATTTTCTTTTTCTTTTATCGACATGTGTGCGACTCTTTACTTTTAATTTTCTTTGATTAATGATGCTATAAAGTTATAATAAATTTTAAATGATTGTAATCTTCCTATAACTTTTGTATACCTCAACATACTTAAAAGAATATTTGACTACCTTGTATTCAACTGTATTTATACTCGCTTAACTTTCGATCTATCGAAGAAACATCCAGTGATACTAACTTATCTGTTTGCCAATTTTGTCTAACAAATTATTTAATTTTAAATATAAACACAATGTATATAAATTAATTCTTAAAACTAATTGTATTTTCTTTTCTTTATTTCTATTTTTAATGTAGATCTCATAATACCTCAAATTTGATAGAAAACATTAATTTGGAACTAATTGTTATTGGATTAAGACTCGTGTGATGTGCGACTGTAAATTATTTTAAAAGTTGATTTTGATAAGAAATGATTATTAAATTTATATTATAAAATTGTTTTGTGAACTATAATAGAGACAATAATATAAATTAATCACATAGACAAATATATATTTTATTTGAAAAGAAAATACATGCGTGTAAATTGAGAGTGATGTTCGTAATTTATGTTTGTAAATTTACATATTGATTTATTTGTTTTGTATTTTGTTTTTTTTACTTATAAAATATTTTACTTTAATTTGTTAAATTTATTTATTTATTTTAAGTGTTAAATAAATTTATGAGTTTATTTATAATTATTATCAAATAAAATTTTCAATAATTTTATAAAATTTATGTCTATTTTATCGAATTTTATAAGATTGTTACATACTATATTATTTTTTAAGATCAACTTAAAGTGACTTATATTTGAAAATTATGTAAAACTACTTTAAGATTAAAAATATTTATTTCAAGTATTATTTTTATTGTTATAATTTTAGGAAAACAACAAATATTTTATTGTGTTTGGATTTTGATATCTCTTTTATTTTTTGGAATTTGAGAGAAATATTCTTAAAATTAGAAAATATACGTAAATGAAGTAACGATTGGTTTGTTGGACTATTTTGTCCAAAATAAGATCAAAATATTTTATTGTATTTGAATTCTCCTATCTCTTTTGTGTAGTATTTTGTTATTTGTCATTAGTTTATTATTTGATTTATATACAAAATATAATATTAAAATATATAGACATCGTAAAAAATTATTATATATTACATTATATTTTAAATATATTTAAAATGACTCATACTTGAAAATATGTAAGAATTATTCTAAGATTAAAATTATTTATTTCAAGTGTTATTTTTATTGCTATAATTTTAGAAAAATATATTTTATTGTAAATTTGTTCAAAATGATATTTTATTCCGTTTGTGAGAATTTGAATATGTAATCTCCAATTTATAGAAATATATGATGAAAATGAGTTTTAGGATGTGTTACGTAATACTATAAGATAATATGTCAAATTTAAATTATATTTAATAATGTGTTAGAATTATAATTGATAATATGTTGTTATATTATTTGATTTATTAAATTTAATATATTATACTTAAGTAGTTAAATACCGTTGATTACTTATACAAAGACCGGCGCAATAACTTTAGCAAGTCTACATTTATTTTTACATATACTAAACAAAAAGTATTAATTAAATTACAAATTAAATAAACAACAAATATATTTGCCTTGCTGAAAACAAATTTAACCTTGTCCATTGCCATCTCCTATTGGACCAACTCCTTCCCTCACCCATTCTCACAACAAAGTTACAAAAACAAAAGTCTCTTCAAAATTTTGTACAATTTATTAAACTTAATAAAATTTTATTTTCCCTTGGCAACTTCGTGAAGAAAAGGCAATTTATTATTTTAATAATAAAAATATCATCAAGAGTCACATCATCAATAACAGAAAAGGCAAACAAAGGATTAAAAAAAACGAAAAACATGATTCTTTCATTTGCTTCTGTTTTGGCGCCTTATGGCTCCAACAAAAACGCATTTTATAATAAACGTTGTAAAATGTCATAATTACAACGCATAAAAAAACACAGTGGTTATTAATCATCACACATGATAGCGTGACAAGTTCAACCATGAACTCTGGTTGTATATCGAACTGCATCAACGATGCACGTGACCCACGTGTTCCGATGAGAGGTAGCTACGTGAACCTCTACAAGTGGCCGGAATCAGATGCTGCTTTTGTGAGGTCAGTGAGTTCCGGCAGAGAGCATCCGAAGGTGGTGGATAGCATTTCTTGCAGACAATTGTATCTGAGAAGCTACACGTTTTGCAGAGAAGATGAGAAGAAGAAGAAAGTGAAGGTGAATACGAAGAAACGTGTGGTTGTTAAGAAGAAAATTTTGGGTGGGAAGAAAGATAAAAAGAGTTCATGTTCTGTTTGGTTTGGTATTTTTCGAAGGTTCTTGTCTTGCTGTGCTAGTGTTGATGTTTGTGGATGAAAATGATCAGTTTTAATTAACGTTTGTCTGTTCATGTTGTTGTTTTGTTTTTTATTTAGAATTAAGAGAAATGATTTATGGGTGTTATAAGTTTAATAAATTAAGGTTTTATTTAAGATGTGAGTGTGGGAAATGTGAATGTAAAGGCTAAATGGGATGATATTCTTCTAACTATTAGGGGTCTGAGATGTATAATATTTGTGTTTTGCAGAAAAAAGATAGGATCAGTGGATTTATGAAACTAATTAAGGGACAGTTTGGGTGGTTCTTAGATTATGATTTTTGGTTTAAAAATTCAATTTAAATAGAGAACATGTTAGAGTAAATTGGAGTTGAATTATTTTTTGATTAATTTGAAAATGTTTTTTTACTTAAATATTAAAATTATAAGAATATTTTTATAATTTTTATTTATATTTTAAGATGTCATTACCCTTGACCCGTTCACCAGCCACCATCAACCATCACTCGTCTCACCTCTGACCACCATTATCCACCACTCTAATTACTGCACATCATTTTATTCACAACTTTGATTACCACTAAATATCATTCTTATCACTTACTGTTTACCACAAATCACCATTATGACCTTTACAATCAACAAGTCACTATCAACTACCATTGATCATAATTTTGATCACAACTCCATCTAATGTCAATCATCACTCTAAATACAAATACGATCACCTATCCTCTAAGTACCACTTAATCCACCTCCGATTACCACTTATCATTGACCAGCAATTCGAGTATTTCATACACTTGGTTGTTGATTATCACGTGTATTATGTCGCCACATCTAACGATCACTAATTTTAATTACTCCTATTAAAATTAGAGAAAAATGGTGATATGCCGACACTATCAACCAACTACAATTATTTATTAGAATAAGTCACACAATTTTATTTTAAAATTCTTTTAATGATAAGACAAATTGTTAATTTTTTTATTGAATAATTGTGTAAAACTATTTTATATTATTAGTGCATATCAATTAAACTCTTAAAATTATTACTAAATAAGTCAATTATAAATTTTTTTATATCGGTGAATTTATTTTTCTTAAAATGAAACTTAACATTAAATTTTAATTTTAAAATTTTCAAAATTAAAAACTAAATTTTTGTTTATATTTTCAAAATAAAATAGCCAAACGGAGTTTGAACTAGCGTAGGTCACTATCTATATATATATTCAAGCACTTCCTGCTTTCAAGTGAGAATCTCTAAATCTCAAACCTGAGTTGGATAACCCATCACTTGTAGACACGTCTAACCTCTTGTTTACTCACTCAAAGCCATAAAGAGCACAACCATGATGGACAAAGCATGTAGAGAAGTTATTTCAAGTGGAATGACACACGGTCCCTTGACAAGCAAGCAAAGGATAACTGAAAGGTGCAATATATAAAGAACAACTAGCTCACATTTTGACCTAAACACTAAACACGTACATCACAGAGTCATTTATCACTCATTATTCAAAACATTGAGAAAAAGGTGTGAGCACAATCTCCCATGAAGAGAATAAGGCTCTTCTCGCAACTCAAGCCAATATGGAGGAATTATGACATCAGAATGAGGATTTGAGCAAGACAAGATTGATGAAGATGATTATGAAGGAGATTTAGATGATCCACAACCCTTATGTATGAAAATTTTTTATACTTCAGTCCCATAAAATTGTAAGTCACTCCACGTGGAGAATTTTGATGGAAAACGAGACCAATGCAAACACTTAGGAGTCGTAACACTTAAATGACCATGATATGAATCACTAAAGTACTCAAATGCAAAGTACTTTTAAGAAATCTAAAAGAGTTTCCAATTTGGTTGTACATGAACTTGTCTCACCACTCTATCATCAGATATGCTTATTTTGATAGAGAGCAAGTATCCACTGGTATCACCTAAAATTCTCTCTAATATTTACGAGGGAAACTTGGAGACTCTGAAGAAGTGTCTATCTCGTTACAATAAAGCCATTATACGATTCATAAACGCAAACCAATAAATGTTTTTAGGAAAATTTTAAAATGGTTTTAAAGAATGATACTTCAATGAGTCATTGGTGTATAAACTAGTCACTAACATTCAAGAAATTATAAAGCGAGTAGAATGTTACGTTAAAAAAAGAAGAGAGGGTGCTTTAAAAAAAGCAAATACACCAAAGAATAAACACCATGACAAAAAAAAGAATTGCCCACTGTTAAGAATCTGTTATCAATCAATTAGTAATTAGTGTAATTGATATTGTTTCCTATTGTATATTTCCTATTTGCTTATAAATATACACCATGTGCGATCATATTCGACATACAGAGATACAATTACAACATGGTATCTAGAGCTGACTGACCTACTATCTTCCACAAAACAAAACAAAAATCATTTTTTCTCCGGCCACCGTCTTTGCCGCTCATGTAGACTTTCTGGCGAGATTCATATACCGTCGGAATCGTCTCTTCCAGATCGGTCGAATTCCAAAAACGTCACCTCCTTCCGCCGCCGCATGCGTCTCTTCTTCATCTGTGCGTGAATCTCACGCGCCAGACTTCCAGTCGCGCGTCCGCCGCCCCCTACTGCCACCATTTTTCTTGCCTGTCTCGGTTTTCACTCCTCTTTTCAGATCTTCTCTCGATTTTTCATTCCGAGCCATAAAATATCATGGGAGATACCGATTATGTCACGTCCACTAAAGTTCCACTTATTCCATGTGAGAAATTGACCGAAACAGCCAACTACAATATATGGGTTGGTGCTATCAAGATGTGGTTTCACGGTCAGGGATATGAGGATCACTTAACTACAAAAGTCGATACTATTCTCGCCGCCAAATGCGATAAGTGGAAATAAACGGATGCTTCTCTATGAATTGTGTTGTGGTTTTCCATAACAACTAATCTCCAAGCACAGTACCAAGCCTATACCACTTGCTACAGGGTTTGGGAAAAGGCTAAGAAAGTCTTCTCAAATGATGTCCATAATCTTTACAGTGTCATCACCAAACTCTCCTCTTTGAAATTGGAGAATATGGATATGCAAGGCTATCTGACTAAGTTTGATGCATTAAAGGAAAATTTCACAACCTTAATTCCCTTTACACAAGATGAAACAACTTATGATGAACAACAGAGTAAGCATTTCATGGTCACAACACTTGCTGGACTGCCATCTGAACTTGATTCCGTTCGGAATCAGATTTTATCAAGAACCAATGTTCCTAACTATGAAGTAGTTAGTGAACAACTGTTACGCTTGGCTACACCTCATACTTTTAGATCGGTTCCTACTTCCTCTCCCACTGAATCATATGCTCTCGCTTCCCACTATATGGTCGTGGTGGACGAACCAGAGGACGGGGTGGACGTCAAAGTATTCATTGTAACTATTGCAATCGTTACAGTATCATTGAAGTCGGTTGTCGTACAAAGGCAAGAGATCAGCAACGACAACCACGAATCGCTGTTGTCGCTCAATCGGATATCTCTAAAAATGTCACTATCCCCGCCGCTAATGATTTCCTTCAATACAAAGCAGCCCATCAACAATCATCATCTGTCGTTGTTGCTCAGTCGGGTAATCTTATATCCTTTGTTTTTACATCTTCTCTTGGTCCTTGAGTCCATTGACTCTGGTGCCTCTGATCATATGAATGGTAATAAACATCTTTTATCTCAATTGTCTTATTCTAATTCTTTGCCTTCTGTCACTGTGGCAGATGGTTCTAAAATTAAAGTTCAAGGCCTTGGTCAGGAACATCCACTTCCAAACGTGTCTTTAGAGTTTGTACTTTACATTTTTTATTGTCCTTTTAATCTAATATATGTTCACAAGCTTATTTATACTCTTGATTGTTCAGTCCTTTTTAATTATAATTCTGTTTATATCCATGATTGACATACAAGACGGACGATTGGAGCAGGGAGTGAAGTTGGAGGATTATATCATCTTTCTCCACTGGTGGCATGTGCTTCTATTGCTTCTCTAGAACTCACACATCAACATTTGGGTCACCCTAGTCTTAATAAAATGTGACTTTTAGTTCCTAGTACTTTTAAGCTTTCGTCTTTTAAGTGTCAGTCATATCAATTAGGAAAACATACTCGTAGTACTTATTGTCAACGAGTAAATAAAAGTGTCGCATCACCTTTTGCTTTAGTTCACTATGATATTTGGGGTCCTAGTCGTGTGAAGTATACTTTAGGATACTATTACTTTGTAACTTTCATCGATGATTATTCACGATGCACTTGGTTATTTCTAATGAAAAATCGTTCAGATGTTTTCCGTATCTTCCAAGAGTTTTATGCTGAAATTAAAAACCAGTTTAACACTTCCATTAAAATTTTATGCACTGATAATGCTCGTGAATATATGCTATCCCAGTTTTAATCTTTTTCAACATTATAAAGAATTATTCACCAATCATCATGTGCTCATACACCACAACAGAATGGTGTTACTGAACGAAAAAATCGTCATTTAGTTGAAGCGAAACAACCCTCATTCAAAACCAAATATGGGACTGAAGCGAAACAACCCTCATTTCCATCTCTTTTCACTTCATCTTCTTCATTCAAAACCCATTTTCTTCCTCCATTAACCCTTATCAAAACCCACTAACTCGCATTTACTCTCCATTTCTCCAAAATCAAAAACCTTTTCCAACAAAATCCCAATTTCTCAATTGTAAATACATTTTTTCTCATCCAAAACCCAACACCACACATTCATCATCCTCGCAAATTTCTTCAACTTCAACCACCCACAATGGCATCCGAGGGGAACTTTCTCATGGAACTCATTTTTCGATAAGGTCCAGACGATAGAAAACAAAGGAAAAGTACGAGTCTTTAATGGATCGAGACATTTTCTCTACGAGGTATGTCGATGACTCATGCCTACACATTAGGAATTTACAATAGTGTCTATTATTTGGTAGAGATGTTAGGATTGCAAAATTCGTTTGAATGTAGAGACCACACTTATATG